TGAAATGAATTTGCTTAGATTACTTGACCAGAGTAAAACCCAGCGTTAGTGTCTAATATTTTCCCTTGTATCTTAATTTAATTTAGGGCAAGTATTTATTGCTAACGGCTTTGATAGAGCACAATTTATAGAAAAGCGTTTAAGAATTTTATATGTTTTGTCATATTAGTGCAGTGTCAAAATGAAATTTAAAGAAGCCTGAGCAAGACAGTCAGGTGCTGCTGCAACCTTTGGTGTACATAAGGTTCAGAAACGAGGACCTTTAAATAACCAGCAATGGGTTGGACTAAGCATCAGAAAACTTCCAAGGAAATGAAGAATTATGGGGCTAAAGTCTAGGAGAAGAAGGCAGTCCAGTGTTGATCCCAACTTTTGGGGTCATTTTTCTGTCCTAGATGTGTATATCTATTCAGAAAGTGAGAACTGAGAGGGCTAGAAAGCTGAGGAGAGGTTTCAACAAACTCCCAGGGCTGAAGGAACAAAAATTAGAGCTCTGCCAAGGAAGAGAGACCCTTGCAAGCATTCCATGCTTTGTGTTGCAACCCAAGGGAAAGGGTGAACTAGATCTTCAGCTTATTTCTGCAGTTTTTATGTGTGGCCCACAACAAAAAAAGCCAGACATATAAGAAAAAGAAATGTGACTAACACCAAGAAAAGCAATCTACTGTGGAAATAGACTCAGAGGGGATCCATTTAATAGAGTTGTCAGATACGGACTTTAAAATAACTGTGATGATTATGTCATGGGATTAATAGTCAAGATTGAGAATTTCAACACAAAACTGAAAACTTTAAAAAAGAATCATATTAAAGGCTCAGTAGATGGGCTTAAAGTCAGCAAGAAAGGATAAAATTAATTAGTATATTTTATATGGCATAAAATGCATCCCACCCTTCAAATTAGAATTGAATTACAGCACTGAAGTGTGTTTTCATGTATAATCTTTATTATACAATAAGAGTGCATCGAAATCCAACTGAGCATTAAGAGAAGAACATATGAATTGTGAGACAATTATTCACTAGGTAATGTTCTAGTGTGTTATTGAATTAGAGATATACTAGAATTAGGTGAAGTGGTTAAGGAAAGGGTATCCACAGGTTAAAATATGAAGATTGAGAAGGATAGGTATAGGAATCATAGCAGGTTTAATTCTCAGAGTGGATATTATTGAGAGAGCTGGAATTTTAGCTCTATGTATATATGTGAGGTTTACACATAACAGTAATTTCCTGTGCTGTTAATTCCTAACAGCACAAGTGGTGCTAATCCACAGTGTCCTCACTTGTCTTTTACAATTGTCTTCACAATATCATGTGCTAATCTTTTTAAAAACATATAGACCAAAACCTTCATACAACATTATTGATTATAGAATACTATTCTTTAATGGAAGTATTCCATTTTAGGCTCTGTTTTGAGCCCTTTAACCATTGCATATTAGATTAATAATAATCTTAGAATATAATGTACCCTTAAGAATTGTCAGCAGTGTTAAGGACAGTGTTTTGTTGGATCTGTAATGAATGTAGCGTTATTTCATTCAGTCGAAACACATGATTAACTGTCTGTTTTTCCTCTTCAGGCCACCTCCACCACAACCGAAAGTATCATCTCAGGGAAATTTAATTCCTGCTCGTCCTGCTCCTGCACCTCCTTTATATAGTTCCCTCACTTGATTGTTTTACCTTTCCTTTTGCAGATATCTTCAGGGAACTGAGCTAATACTTTTTTTTCCTGATATTTTCTTGAAAAGCCTTTTTTCCTGCTGCAACTTTGAATAAAAACAAAATACCGCAAAACGAACTTTACTAACAGAAAAACAAATTGAGTAATGGAAATTGAGAAATATAAGAAATTCAGTGAAGCCAGGGAATTTAGAGTTACATTTTCATTTCTATCACTGAATAAGTCTTATTCAGTCATCTGTGAAGTAATGCATCTAACATGGATTATGTTATTTTGAACATGTTACTGTAATGATTTTCAAATTAACTCTGTTGGTTTATGTTTTTTCATTATATGCTTAAATGTAATTCTGAATTTTGACCTTAGTTATCATTAATGTAGTTTCAGGTCGAACATGTGATAATCTAATACCTATGAAAACTGACTAATTAGCTGCCAATAATATCTAATATTTTTCATCTTGCACAGACTAATCATCATCATATCTAGAATATTGTCTGTATCATTCACTACATGAATAAAGATTTATTCTGTCTTCAAAAGAATGCACAAAACCCGCAATTAAGATATCATAATATTACTTTTAATGTACAAAATACACTAAAAGTGTATGTATGTATTCACACATAGTTATTAACTTTCATTTTTATGATCATTCTGTGGATAAATGATTCTATAGATTCTATGGATAATAGATTCTGTGGATCTATCTATGGATAATGAATATTAAAAAGTTAATTTAATAATAGAATTCTATTGTGAATCATGTTAAAACATGACATCCTTTTACAATAGCAATTATTTTAATGAAGTATAAACTTTAAGGTACGAAGTATTTAATAGAACTAATCAGATATGCTGTTGATTCATGGCTATAATAAAGCAGGAGCAATTATACCTGCAATCAATTGAGCTGTTATAAAACCACTTGAGAATTTCATGAGCACTTTAATTAAGTCTAAAATCTGAAACTTCAAAGCTTGCTATTAATATAATTTAGAATGTTTACATTTACTAAGGTGTGCTGGATCATGTCTCTGTTGAAACTATTATTTTCAAAGAAATTAGGCTAGAGAAAAGAAAGAAGAAAAGATTTTCTTAGATAAGTGCAAAAAAGTTATGGTGGTATATGTGAATTATCATCCCAACTGTGTTAAAAAATGAATTTTTACTATGGAAGTAATGGTATGGATAGTGAAATTTTAAGCACTTAAAAATTTTACATAACCTTTCATAATAAAGTTTAATAATAGGTTTGTTAATGGAATTTCATTAGTTTTTCCAAAATATTTTAGTTTATGTATATGTACATATGCAAATATAACATTTACAATAAATAAAATACTTGAAATTCTGTTTTGTGTCACCTGGTAACTTTCTAAATACTCAGCTATTTATAACCTTATTAATTAAACATTATACTAGTTTTAGATAAAACTGTACTAGTCAAACTTTTACAGATGTTATTTCACTAATATTTAGACTTCTGCCAAATTGTGTAGTCTTTCTGTTATTAAAAGAAAACGGATTAGTTTTGAAGAAGACAGATATTTCACTTCTTTGAAGATGGTACGTTATTTTAACAATCAGATGTACATTAAAAATTGTAAACAATCCCAAATGAAGAATCTTTATTTCAACTGAAGATACCTTAATAGTCAAAGACAAATTATATGTAACTTTGATATCACTGTTTGACTCTATGTTCACAAATTTAACTCATTCAGGGTATTGCATTTTCCCTTCCTATCATGCAGATGCCTGGGTCTCTATTAGTTAAGTACAATCCAGCTTTTCTAAGCACAAATCAGATTTTATTAAATTCCATAAATATTTACTGAAACTCTACCATCTTGCAAGTACTATATTAGGTACTGTCATACATGTACTGGAAAGGACATGCCTCCTGTTACGGAGAGAGCCATATACACAAATAATAATATAAAACCTACTCTACTAAAGAATTTAAAAAGCTTGAGCAGAGGGAAATAATGAAGAAATAAAAGAACTAGAAATTAATTCAAAATAATACTAATTGACAAGTCTAAGTACTTACTATAATTGTTCTAATGCTATGATGCAAGGTGAAACCAGATTTTGGCTCAACTACTGTTTGAAAGCAGTGTTAGTCAAGCACTGGCTGTTTCTGTTGACATACAAGCTAGGTGTATAGTTTCGTTGCCTGTTTTTGTTCATACCGTTCTTTCTTGGGCTTAGAAACCCTTGGGTTGAAACTCTTTGCATACATAGAATTGCATCTCAACTGTCGGTGTAGATGTGGTGATTCCCCGAGGGAGCTTTTCTGTGTTTCCATGGGGCCTTTTGGTTAGTGTGTCTCCCTTTCTGCTAATTAGTATGAAAGATTAATTCATTCTTTGGAATTTGAAAAGGATTAAAAGAGTGCATATAAGTAGAGACTGGGAGTGAGGCTAGACGGGAGAAGGTATTGCAGTCTAAGGGAATCAGGCAATGTTCTTTCAGGAAAGATCAGAAGTCAAGGTGGCCAAAGCATTGCTGGTAGCAGGAAATTGGCAGTCTGGGTTCAGAATGTAGAAAATGTTGAATACTGTGTTAAGGAATTTGGCTGGAATTTTCTACTGGAACATACATACTGTGACTATGAGCAAGAATCTTGTCCATTTCTTTCACTGCACGAGTGAATGAATATTGTAACTTCTCATATTGTAATAAGAGAATGAAGGCACCACATGAATTTTAGTCAAGGGCCTGTGAAGAACCAGAATAGTGGAGAGCTGACACCGCCTTTTTAGAAAGTGCATTTAGGCAGTAGGTATGGGGAAAAAACGTAGCAGGCTCTTTACAAAGATATCAAAATCTACTCAGTTCCCCCTTTATTGGAATCTCTTATATATATCTAGCAAGATTTTAATTTTAGAAACCCAGCTTTAGTAAATATGTATGTGTGTCTGAGTTCGTATAGTCTCTAATTCACAAAGTATTACACGTTCGTCTTTTAAAGCACCTGAAAGTGTCTGATACAAAGCGCGTAATCAATGTGTTCTTTCAGGTTCATCAACACGGAGGGAAAGTTTTGTGAGGGATGACGACCACGTGGGAGCGGCCGGGTCTGATAACTCCAGAGGAGCTGTGAGCCACCGGGTGGGAGAGGTCAGAGAGCCGGATTTAGCCTGGGGCGGCCTGATTAGTATTCTGGCGCGAAATACCAGGCGCCGCGGCCTCGCGAGAACGCGCCGCAGAAACGCGCGGGGAGGCGGCCCTCTGATCCGCCTGTCCCAGGAGGCCCAACTGCCGCCCGCTCAGTACCCGCTCCCAGCCGAGAAGCCGCGCCATGTTACGCTTAGTGATGCTGCTTGTGGGGCTCCGTGGCTTGCTAGCGTCAGGACCCGGTGAGCCAAATGGAGACCCAGTTGCGACCGTCTGCTGCGGAAGGTTTTTCTTTTCCTTTTTTCAACGTGCACCTGCTTGCGTCGAACTGTGGCCCAACTCAGTTAAAACCCGAGGGTCCTTCACTATTTTTGGGGGGGTCTTTTGCCCTGTCACCCTGGAAACCGGGCTGTGTTAGGCTGATCCGTTGGGCTAGAGAAGTTAAGTTGAGCAGAATAAGCTCAAGGGCAAATCTCTTACTCTCTGAATTTGGGTTCGGCCTTTCTTCTAGGTCTGTCATACACTTCATCAAACTGCTTCAAAGTTTCTTGCACTCAAGCATTCTGGAAACTTTTTGAACTTTACTCAAACCCCCACAAACTGACTTTCCTTAGATATCTTTTGTTTCAACATAATAACTTGCCTTGCATACAGTAATAAATCATCCAGCAATAGGAAATAATAATTGAAGCAACAAATAAGTTTGATTTTTTGTGAGTCGAATTTTGATTTAGAAGTGGGGAACTTCCAGGAAAAACGTAGGTAGTATGTAGTTTCCACCAAGTCTCCGGATTTTTGGTCAATTCCCCACGTCATTTTATTAAGGGGAAGCACATCTTCCCAATATCCAGTTCTATTATAGAGCTCATTGTGCTACAGTGAGGACATGTTATGAGAAGTTACATTGTAGTCATGCAGACCGGGCGTGAACTCATGGTCATGTGAAACGTTAGAGCATACAGTTATAGACAGCTAATGGAAGATAACTTAATGTTTTACCAGTACTATTTGTATTTTCAAAACAAGGTTACTAAACAAGGTTTGAGTAAGGGGTGTACCTTTATAAGCAAAGAGGTCACAATGGAAGGTAGTAATCTCTGGGGCATGTTTTCTAGAGAGAAGTCAATATATGCTTTCAGAAAGGCCAAAAAAGAATCCTACATTTTTATCAGTCAAGTTTTTCCATCTCTCTAGGGATAGAGGCCAGACCATCAAACCAGGAACCTCATGAGTTGGTTTGCTACAGTATAGATCCAACAGTTGGTGAGATTTTCAGATTCAGAAAGTTTATGTAGGGTAGGAAAAAAAAGGTGTAATAGATTGTAATTTTCAGCAATGAAGGTTACAAAAGAGATAAGAGGCCAAACCAAGAGCTAAAATTATCTCTGTGTAATGAGATCCATTGTAAAAAGTCAAGAAAGTGGCTGCTATACTAGCTGACATAAGAGTACTAAGTGAAATAAAACAGTTGATGAGCAGATTTGATTTTACGAGGCAACAGTCAGTGTAAGAATAGTAAGTTTTTCTGAATTCCAAGGTGTTACCTTAATAAATTACAAATTCTCATGCAATTTCAGCACATAGAAAAGTAGATAAGAGTTCTACCAACCAAATGATTAAGAGAAGGGTTACAGAAAGCATGGCATATTGGGAAGAAAAACATAGGACTATATCGCCCTTGTCCAGAATCTTGAGAAAACTGTCTATTCAAATGCCATCTGCTTCTGCTCCTTGGCAATTTTGAGCTTTAGGTCTCCATCCGGGAGCAGATTGTCAAACTGGTGTTGGAGCTTTCTTTAAATGAGAAACATTAATTCGAGAATCAATGCCTTTAAGCTTGGCTGTACAAAGATTAGTTAAAAGTTCCTGGCATGGTCCTTTCCACCTGGGTTGTAGAGCATCATTTAAAAAATAATTTAAAAAATTTTCAATTATAGTTGGCTTACAATATAATATAGTTTCAGGTATACAACATAGTGACTAGACATCTATACAACTCATAAAGCGACCACCCTAATCTAGGACCCCCTCTGATACTGTACATAGTTATTATAATAGTATTATAATATTATTGACTGTTTTCCTTAGGCTGTACTTTATATCTCCATGACTATTTTGTAACTACCAATTTGTACTTCTTAATCCCTTCCCCATTTTTAACTGACCCCCCAACCCACCTCTTGTCTGGTAACCCTCAAAATGTTCTCTTTATCTGTTTGTTTCTGTTTGTTTTGCTCTTTAGATTCTACATGTACATGAAATCATATGGCATTTGTCTTTCTCTTTTTGACTTACTCCACTCAGCACAATACCCTCTAGGTCCATCATGCAATATCTTTTTTTCATCCTTTTATTTTCCATTGGTTTGTGTCTTTTAATCTGAAGTGAGTCTCTTGTAGGCAGCCTATGTAAGGATTTTGTTTTCTTATCCATTCAGCCACCCTATCTTTTGATTGGAGAAGTTAATTCTTTTTTTTTCATTTGAAGTACTCATTGATAGATATGTAGTTATTGCCATTCTTTATTCATATTTTTGATACATATTTTTTTCTTAAGTCCTTCCAACAAACATTTCCTGTTCCAGTAGAAAATTCCAGCCAAATTCCTTAACACAGTATTCAACATTTTCTACATTCTGAACCCAGACTGCCAATTTTCTGCTACCAGCAATGCTTTGGCCACCTTGACTTCTGATCTTTCCTGAAAGAACATTGCCTGATTCCCTTAGACTGCAATACCTTCTCCCGTCTAGCCTCACTCCCAGTCTCTACTTATTGAAAATGAACTCCTTTAGCTTTTTCTTGTCTGGGAAACTCTTTTTATGTCCTTCAATTCTAAATGATAGCTTTACTGGGTAGAGTAATCTTGGTTGTACGTCCTTGCTTTTCATCACTTTGAACATTTCGTTCTAATCCTTTCTGGCCAGTAAAGTTTCTGTTGAGAAGTCAGCCGACAGCCTTATGGGAGCTCACTTGTAAGTAACTAACTGCTTTTCTTGCTGTTTTTAAGATTCTCTCTTTGTCTTTAACTTTGGCAAATTTAATTACGATGTGTCTTGGTGTGGACATCTTTGGGTTCATCTTGTTTGCGACTCTCTGCACTTCCTAGACTTGTATGTCTATTTTCTTCACCAGGTTAGGGAAATTTTTGGTCATTATTTCTTCAAATAGGTTTTGAATTCCTTGCTCTCTCTCTTCTTCTGGTACCCCTATGATGCAAGTGTTGTTATGCTTGATATTGTCTCAGAGGGGAATTCTTTTTTCTTGCTACTGTTCTGATTGGGTGTCTTCTGCTACTTCATCCTCTAAATCGCTGATTCAGTCCTCTGCTTCATCCACACTGTTGAGTCCCTGTAATGTACTCTTCATCTCAGATATCGTATTCTTCATTTCTTACTGGTTCCCTTTTATGTTTTCCATCTCCATTTTTATGTTTTCTGTCTCTTTGTTAAAGTTCTCATTGAATTCATCTACTCCTCCCCTAAGTTCACTGAGCATCCTTATAATCAGTGATTTGAACTCTGCATCTGGTAGATTGCTTGTCTCCATTTTTAGTTCTTTTTCTGGAGCTTTGTTCTGTTCTTTCATGTGGGACATGTTCTTTGTCTCTCCATTTTGGCTGCCTCCTTGTGTCTGTTTCTATGTATTAGGTAGGGCGCTGAAATCTCCTGGTCTTAGTAGAGTACCTTTATGTAGCAGGTGTCCTGTGGGGCCCAGTGGCACAATCGTCTCTGGTCACCTGAGAGAGGTGCTCAAGGTGTGCCCCTTGTGTACATTCTGTGTGCTCTCCTGTTATAGTTGAGCCTTGGTTGCTGTTTGCACACTGATGGAAGGGATTGACCCTTGGTCTGAGTGGTTGTGAGGACTGGCCAGTGAAGGACTGACCTTACAGAGGAGGATTCACTTTAGCAGGGCTCTGGTGCCTGCCTAGTCTGCCCTTTAGGCATGTCCTTCTCAGATGCAGCTCTGGGTGGTGCTCTGGCTCTGGTGCTGGTCAAAGCAGGCCACGGGGTGTGCTGGCCCAAGGGTCTTATGGGAGGGTTCCAGCTGCAGGCTAAGTTCAGCTGCAGCCTGTGCGCACCTGGGGCCACCTGGTAAGAGTCATCAAACCACTTGAGGATGGCTGTCACCTGTACTGGGCTTATAGGTGCCTGGAGAGACCAAGCCAAGAACTGACGCTGGTTGCTACTAGTGCGGGATTTGGGGCTGCTCAGCAAGAGAGGTACAGGGCATGCCTTGGCCAGATGCTGCTGCTTTGGGTTTTGTGAGCCTTTGAGAGGTTTGAGGAAAGTCTGCAGCAAGAGTAAGGACAGGCCATTTGTATGGAATAAACCACTGGGGTGAGCCCACAAGTTGGGAGGGGTAGAGTCTCCTTGTCCTTGTGCTTTTGTTTTCTTTAATTTGGTTGTCTTTTGTAGGTTTTGCCTCTGGTTCTTCTTGCTTTATGTTATATTCAATGGTTCTGAATCTTTGGCGTGTGGTTACCATTATGATTATGTAAAAGATAGTTTTTTATATATGTGTGTGTATATATGTGTGTGTGTGTGTGTGTGTGTGTGTGTGTGTATGTATATGTGTATATATATACACACATCTATATAGTTGTCCATTTTCTTCTGCGCGTGCCTTATCTCCATTCCCTTTGTGAATTTGGATCTTTGAATCCGCCCCCCTTTTCAGTCACTGTTGTCTCAATTTGTCCCTATGTATGCTGAATGTTCATTACTATCTTGTTATAACACTCCTCTGCTTCTATCTGTCTGCTAGTCACTTTACTCCTAATTATGTTTTTTGGGGTTTTTTTTTGTCATTTTGTTTTAGGTGAGCTGACCCCTTTCAGTATTTCCTGTAATGGAGGCCTCATAGTGGAGAATTCCCTGAATTTTTGTATGTCTGGAAAGGTCTTTACTTCTCCTTCATATCTAAAGGAGAGCTTACCTGGATACATTATTCTTGGCTGGTAGTTCTTTTCATTTAATAGTTTAAATATTTGATACCATTCCTTTCTGGCTTGTAAGATTTGTGCTAAGAAGTCCGAGAATAATCTAATGGGTTTACTTTTATAAGTTACCATTTTTTTCTCCCTGGCTGCCCTGAGAATTCCTTCTTTTCTCTCCCTCCTCCTGCAGGGAGCTTTGGCGGCTGTGAGAGACATCTCTTTATTACTCCCAGTCCACAGCCTGATACCTGGTGTTCTGACCTGTGGTAGCTCTTATGTATAGATCTCATGCTCAGACATGCTG